TAACATGTGCATTAAAATATAAGTGGAAAACTATAAAACATAATTTTCATGGTTTTCAATGTAAAGACAACCCAAATGCCTGAAGTAAAAATTCAGACTGTTAATGGCATTTTGAAAAATCTTTTTTTTTTTAAAAAAAACTGTTTTTCATTGCCAAACATGGCTCAAAAATTAAGTAAAATTCCAAGTCACCAAGAGTTTCATACACAATTTTGTCAATGTAAAAGAAGACATTTTCCCTTAACTACATTAGTGTATTTTCTTCATGTTCTAAAAATTATAAAATTTTCAAAAGTTTGAATGCCAACTCATTTTTAATAAAAGTGGCATAAATCAAACAGACATCTCCAAATGATATTGTGTGTTATTTTTGCTATTTTGTTAGCTTTCTTCTTCTATGGAACAGTTATCTGGGAAATTGTGTCCTCTTGTGGTCACTGGCAAAAACAACATGTTTTCTGCAAAGAACCAAACCAAACAACAGCCGCAGGACATAAGGCTTCAGGAAAAGCCATTTGTGAAAAAAGGAAATCCCTTCAAATGAAAAAATGTGAAAGTTATGAGTAATCAGAAAGAGAAATAGAATTGAGAAAACATGAAATGTAAATCATTCAATTTATATTTAAATTACTGGTCATCGGATGATTAAAAAGAAGACACATAATGCTATGAAGGAAGACTGACACCATGATAACAGTTCTTCTGAATAACTATTTATTTCTTGCATTCTTTCTTCAGTTATTCCAGCAACTCTTTGATATAATGAAGTGAGTGTGTTTTCCAACGTTAATGGGCAGCTGAGACACCAACTCTCCAGTCAACAGACCCCCCACAAAAAAAAAGGAAAAAAAATGCTCTTCAAGACTCCATACTTTCCCATATTCTGATCCCGCTCTTTCTACAGGTTAGACCTGTGTCTCCTCATCTCATCCTTAGGCTGAGTTCAGAATGTCAGCGATTTTAAAGATTAACATTTATTTGAAAGTTTCATTTGTCGTATTGTTGGCACCTCAATTTATTGTGCTTTTTACTTTTTCTTTTTATTTCTGGATTGAAATTTTCAAATTTTATAATTTCATATATATATATAAAATTATAAATATTTACTTGCAAAGATATTCAGATAGAAAAATGTAGAATCAGTTCAATTTATGAATTAAATCATCATTTAACAAGAAAGAGAATGAGTTTTTATTTAGGGAAAGGTGTTTAAACATTATTAAGGATACCAGAGTCATGAAAGAAGAATAAGCTTTTACAGTTATTGTGCTGACATGACTTCACATTCCACTTCAAAAAAATTATCTCATTCAAACAGCAGTCCCTCTGGAGTGTTCAAAATGAGATGAAATCTAAGATATGGTACATCATCTGATAGTCACTCAATTGCAGCCTTTCTAATTTTCACCTCCTTCTGTGTGAATGCTCCTGTGCATTATTTATGCTTTTCAGATAAATTATTTCTCAGAACTCGGAGCCAACAAACAGGTGATAGGCCATGTAAAGTCTGAGGAGAAAGAAGAGAAGGAACAGATAGAAGTACTCACCTTTTATGCAAGCCCAAACTCCAGAATTTACCAGCTTGCTAACCATTCTATAGTGTGTGTTTGTTTTCCTTATCTAAAAGTATTTATAATGGATTGTTGCTAAGAAAGTGTCACAGCATATTCAAACTGTCAGGATACTTAATATTTATTGTATGTGTTCAGTGTGAGATTTCTAACTCTGTTACTTTTAACAGTATTTTTTGTTTCAATTATTAACACAGCACACATTCCTCAGGCAGGATTGCATACATGCCAGGTTTGCAGTTTGAAAACAAAGATCATTTTGCATTATTCAAGTACAAAAGAAATTTTTTTTCAGTTAATTTTTTTGGGGGGGATTTTATTTTAGAAGTAGACAAAATGACTGAATTCTAGCATTCCCAAAGAATGTAGTCCCCATTGACATCCTTCCAATTAGGAAGGATGTCAGACTTAAAGGAAAATTCAGCCTTAAAAGAAAATTTCTAAGATTGTTTTTACCATCCCAAGATTGAGATTTTAGAAAGAAGTACAGTTTCAAATTTAAACTGAATATTGCAGAAGTTGCAATTATTGTTGCATTTATAAGACAATCCAGAATTATATCTGACTTGTCAACAAGTAAAAAGGGAGCCATCTTTGCCCCAGCAAACGTGGAAAAGAAAATTGTTAGGTAAAATGTTAGATAAGAAAGAGCTGTACATGAGCAGACTGGACGATCAGCTAGGGCGTGTTGCAGTTTGTAAAGCAGGAAGTTTCTACCTCCAGCCATTTTCAGAGGTAACTCCTGGCAAGCCAATACCTTTTGCCCCAAAAGTAACATTCAAGCCCTACTTAGGAACTCAAAGGTCCTCTCATCCTCCACTCTTTAGAACAGTTCAAGAGAAATTTCTTCTTAGAAGTAGTCATCAATTGTGACTCTGGCTGAATGATTCCATGGTCAGGATGGTTCTGGTTAGGTGTTCATTTTGAATTCCCCTCTAAGTATTCTGTCAGTGCGTTGCCTGAGCCTTGGTTGGGGGTTCCTGTACCCAATGGCCAGGAGCTCTTCATCAGCTAGAAGTTTAGCGCCGGGAAAGGGTTGGGCTCACTTATTTAAGAACTAGTCTTGGAGATTGATGACTGCAAGATGGGCTGGCTAATGACCCCTGGCTGTTTCGCCGTTGTGGACGCGGTTTCTCCTCCAGCTCCTTGACCGCTCCCCTCCCCTTGCCCAATTCCCCTGGGTCAGGTAAGGTTTCCTTTACACTTTGGCCACACTTTCCTGTCTTGCTTACCCGTGGCCACAAAGGAAGAGTCCAATCATTCAATCTCTTTATTTTTGATAACTCAGCTAAAGAGAAAAAAAGAACAAAACAAAAATAAGATTTGATATTGATCTTTAAAAAAAATAGCTGAAGTGGAAAAAATGTCAAGATTTCTGCAGCCATGTTCTACATAAGAATTGCAGAATACTGCGCAATTCAGATTTACACAAAGAACACTTGATGAACAGTGGGGCAGAATTTCTGCTGCATTCTCTAAGCGCTCCCAAGAGATAAAAATCTGTTAAGTGGAAGACACATATGCAAGGGTGCAGGGGTGACTGTTTCGAGAACTGCCAGAGTGCTACTGAAATTAAGTGGAGGTCAAGTCGAATCTGATTTTCAGCCAGACTATTTTACAATAAGGCAGCGGCTCGCTAAACAGGCCAGTTGACAGCTGTAGTCATTGTTTCTGAGTATTTTTGTAAAAATGGTAAGGGACCAATTCTGCAATTTGTCCCTCCCATGAAAGCACAGTCTTGTTTACCCCTCGCTGGAGAAGTAACACTCGCCCTCTCTTCTCCCAACAAGCTGAACCCTTTAGTCGGCCCAACGAGCTCCACACCCTAAGGTTTCCAGGACCAAAGCTGCAAGCCTTACAGGGAACAGCCACGTGGCCTGCCCGCGAGTCGCCTGGGCTTCTGCCTCCAGCTTGAGATATCTGCAGCCACGACCCTTGTTCCAGTCCAGAAAGGGGCACTTCGCTGAATTAATTGTTCCTCCTGGCGAGTCCGTACTGAGGAGCCCATGGGCGGACTTTAGCCTGTGCAAAGGACTCCCAGCGCGGTGGTCGCCTCCAAACTCTGCCCCCACCCCAACACTGTCTACTGTCTTTTACTTTGCCATGTAAGGGATGGACCACCTTAACTCGTTTCAAAAAGGAAACAAGTAGAGCATTGCAAAAGGTGGGCTTCTTATCTAACGCGGCTTTTTTTCTCGTTCACCAACTTTGTTGCTTCCAGTTTGCCAGGATCTACGTTAACACCCTCTTTGGGGCTCTTACGTTTTAACTTATAGACAGAAATGCTTAAAATGTTAGCGTATCCAAGTAACTGGAATGCGTTTGGGGCTCAGGAAGCATAACTGTCCACTGGACCCCCTAGAAAGCGGGGGCTGGGAGAGAGGGTCTCAGAGCAGGCAGCCCCTTATGTCCAGGCGCTATCAAATTCCCACTTCACTCTCTTACAAGCTGGCCTTTCAAGATCACAAAGCAGGGCCTAATTTGGGGGTGGAGATGAAATGGCCACAGGGTCCTCTCCCTTGGGCTGGCATTGTCAGTTGTCAGGGCTGCCGCCAGGCGCTGACCTGCCCCCCTCTGGCTCTGCTCCCTTCCCCGTGGACTGGGTTTCCTTCCGAGAGAGAGTGAACTTCTGCCTCTTTCGAGCACCTTCCCAGGCGCAGTCCTTTGGTTGTTGGGGAGTGTTAGACTGGGTCGTTGTAGAGGGAAAAGGAGGGCCCTGAAGGGTGAGAGAGCAGGCCGGGACGCAAATCCTCAGTTGCCGCGGCGCGGCCACGTCTTCAGAAACGCCCAGGACCTCTGGGCTGGGCAGCCGCGGTTTGGCCCTTGGAACACGAAGGGGTTCGTCTACCTGACCACTGGGTGCCCTCCGCGGTTGACAGTTTTCTTGGCAATCACCCTCCCGCGCCCCGCCACACACACCCCCAGCCCCAGCAATCCCAAATCGGCCCCACGGACCTAGAGGGATCTTGGGCGAGATAAGACATCACCCACTGTGTAGAAGCTGTTGCCACTGCTGATGTCACAGCCACTCCGGATGGGGCTGTCACCGCGGCCGGGACTGTCTCCTCTGGCCACTTCCCGGGCTGCGTTAGGGTTCGGGTGCGCTGCCCGCACGCTCCGTAGGGGAAGGAAAGTGCCCCGCGCCCGCCAGAGGAAGGCGACGGAGAGGGAAGGGGGAGGGCGGCAAGGAGGCGGGTGGAGGGGCCGGCCGCCCGGGCCAGGTCGTTTTTGAATGGTTTGGGAGGACGAATTGTTAGACCCCGAGGAAGGGAGGTGGGACAGGGGAGGGGGACTGGAAAGCGGAAACTTTCCTATAAAACTTCGAAAAGTCCCTCCTCCCCACGTCAGGCCAATGACACTGCTGCCCCCAAACTTTCCGCCTGCACGGAGGTATAAGAGCCTCCAAGTCTGCAGCTCTCGCCCAACTCCCAGATACCTCGCGGGCTCTGCAGCACCGGCACCGTTTCCAGGAGGCCTGGCGGGGTGTGCGTGCAGCCGTTGGGCGCCTTCTTTTTGGACCTCGGGGCCATCCACACCGTCCCCTCCCCCTCCCGCCTCCCTCCCTCCTCCCCCGCGCGCCCTCCCCGCGGAGGTCCTCCCCGTCCGACCTCCTGCTCCCTCCTCGGCTGGCCTTACCGCCCGGGCCGGCGCCGCGCGCGGGGGAAGCTGGCTGGCTGAGGCACCCCGCTCTCCTCCTCTTCCGAGGGCCGCCCCTCTGCCCCGGGCCCGCGAGGCCACGCGTCGCCGCCCGAGAGATGATGCAGGACGTGTCCAGCTCACCAGTCTCGCCGGCCGACGACAGCCTGAGCAACAGCGAGGAAGAGCCAGACCGGCAGCAGCCGCCGAGCGGCAAGCGCGGGGGACGCAAGCGGCGCAGCAGCCGGCGCAGCGCGGGCGGCGGCGCGGGGCCCGGTGGGGCCGCGGGCGGGGGCGTCGGAGGCGGCGACGAGCCGGGCAGCCCGGCCCAGGGCAAGCGCGGCAAGAAGTCTGCGGGCTGCGGCGGCGGCGGCAGCGCGGGCGGCGGCGGCGGTGGCGGCGGCGGCGGCAGCAGCAGCGGCGGCGGGAGCCCGCAGTCGTACGAGGAGTTGCAGACGCAGCGGGTCATGGCCAATGTGCGGGAGCGCCAGCGCACTCAGTCGCTGAACGAGGCGTTCGCCGCGCTGCGGAAGATCATCCCCACGCTGCCCTCGGACAAGCTGAGCAAGATTCAGACCCTCAAGCTGGCGGCCAGGTACATCGATTTCCTCTACCAGGTCCTCCAGAGCGACGAGCTGGACTCCAAGATGGCAAGCTGCAGCTATGTGGCTCACGAGCGGCTCAGCTACGCCTTCTCGGTCTGGAGGATGGAGGGGGCCTGGTCCATGTCTGCGTCCCACTAGCAGGCGGAGCCCCCCACCCCCTCGGCAGGGCCGGAGATCTAGGTAAGGACCGCACCGCTGCACCCCTTCGCCTCTCAGGTGGTAGACGGCCGGCCGGCCAGGCCGCGGTTCCCAGTCCACCTCGATTTCCTCCCTTCTCGCACTCTGCTCTCAGCCTTCCCACCTCACTTGGCACCGCTGCCTCGCGCCTCGAGCGTCCCGGGAAGGCCGGTCTGACCCCGCCAAGGAGAGCGGTCTCCAGGGGGATGCGCCCTGGTGAGGGGTGTGTGTGCGCGTGAGTGTGCGTAACAGACTGGAGGGGAGACAGAGACACCCAGGGGTCACGGGTAAGGACAGTTTTGCCAGCACATCCCTTTCTTCCGACTTTCAATTTTTGTTCTTCTCCTTAAAACTAATGTTTTAAAACAAATTCCACCTCCTCCTTTCCGCCCACCCACTTCCTCTTGCCCTTGGGCTGAATTCCTTCCAGGTTGTTCAGCTTAATTTCTCGGTGGTGGTGATAAGAACAGTGCTCACTAGTCTTAGAAAACAGCCGCAGAGACCTAAACAATAACCAACTCCCCCTCTCTGGGTTTTTGCAGATGTCATTGTTTCCAGAGAAGGAGAAAATGGACAGTCTAGAGACTCTGGAGCTGGATAACTAAATATAAAAATATATGCCAAAGATTTTCTTGGAAATTAGAAGAGCAAAATCCAAATTCAAAGAAACAGGGCGTGGGGCGCACTTTTAAAAGAGAAAGCGAGACAGGCCCGTGGACAGTGATTCCCAGACGGGCAGCGGCACCATCCTCACACCTCTGCATTCTGATAGAAGTCTGAACAGTTGTTTGTGTTCTTTTTTTTTTTTTTTTTTTTTGACGAAGAATGTTTTTATTTTTATTTTTTTCATGCATGCATTCTCAAGAGGTCGTGCCAATCAGCCATTGAAAGGAAAGGCATCATTGTGGACTTTCTCTGTTTTAAAATGGTAACAATCAGAGGAACTATAAGAACACCTTTAGAAATAAAAATACTGGGATCAAACTGGCCTGCAAAACCATAGTCAGTTAATTCTTTTTTTCATCTTTCCTCTGAGGGGGAAAAAAAAAAACTTAAAATACAAAAAACAACATTCTATTTATTTATTGAGGACCCATGGTAAAATGCAAATAGATCCGGTGTCTAAATGCATTCATATTTTTATGATTGTTTTGTAAATATCTTTGTATATTTTTCTGCAATAAATAAATATGATCAAAAATTTAAAGAACCTTAAAGTTTGGTCTATATTTTTAAAGCGAAAGATTAAGTTGGTGGTAAATACTTGCTTGTTTAATTCTAGAGGCACCCGGGGGAGGGGGGGGGCTAATATAAACAAAGCAGTGAAAAACTCAAATAAAGCTGCTACTGACAGACACAAGCATGTTATTTAAAAAGACAGCTTTATTATTATTCCAGTTTGGTATTCAGTGGTCTTAGTACCATCTCTTCTTCATCTCTTTTCATCTCCAAACAGCAAAAATTAACAAATTTGCTATTCACCTCCCTAATATTTTGAGGTGGTAGTTGTAAAACAGTTAAATGCAAATAAGCAGCATGAAACCTGCACTACTTTCTTTCATCATGTACTTTTTGTCATGCTCTTCACTCTTTGTGAAGATTCCTAAATAGCAGGTTCTTTTCAGTCAAAAGATAGTGTTATGAAAATTATCTGTACACACAGAGAAATGACCATAAATGCATAGAAAATGGCATAATTCAGCAGAAAAGAGAAAATTTCATTTGTAAAATAATTTGCTTAACTCTTCTCTCATGAATGAATATGATACTTAGTGTCATGTTTGCTAAAAAGAAAAGTTAATATATCCCTATATTGATGTTATTTGGGAAGCATCATTCTTCTTTTGGTATGAAGAATATAAGGCTGTGGAATAAAATACACATAATGAAGAACCTGAACTTTCAGTATCCTTGATAACTGTTGGAACAATTACAGTTTTAATTACTACAGCTATGCAGTTTCTAGTCAATTCATTAACAAATATATTTCATCCAAAATTTCACAGAATTTTTCTGTGGTGAGACCATACACACACACACACACAAAATCTGAAGTTAAGTAAAAATAATGGGCAACCTGGGGTGTTTGATTTTTTTTTTTCATTCTGGTTTTTCTGGGCCAGGAACACACTGGCTTTTATAGTTAATATTATTAGAAATAGTGATTTTGTATCATTTAGTTCTTTTACATCCAATTTACTGCATTGAAGTGTAACTGGGGAAGCTTTCAAACTGAAAAATTATTTTGGTACTTAATTCAAACTATGACTAATAAGTGCATGTATCCAAACAGACCATTTTTGCTTAGCTCAGTTCGAGGTCATTTTATTGCCTGAAGGTTTTTGTTTTCTTTTCCACACAGTACCATAGAATGCTGACATAATATTATAAATTTATTGTGAATATTTCAGACAGTATTTTACAATAAGGAGTCTGTAGCATTTAATTGCATTAAAAGATTACTGAAATCTTGGAGAAGTATTATTATTAATTTTGGGTTTTGATAGTCTTTTAGCAAATAACAGAAAGGGAAGGTGATTATGTGTGGGTGTGTTTGTGGGGGGTGTGTGTGTGTGTTGGGTAGAGTAGAAATGTAAAGAGGGTGCCCTAGAAGGATTAGGGAAAGCATTCCCGGTTGGTAATTCTCTTTTGTATATATCATCCAACCACCTCCATTTTCCAAATTATTCATGAAGAGTCTCCTTGTTCACTAGCTTGGTCTGACTATTTGATATTTCAGATTTCTTGAGGTACACCAGGATGAAGCTGGCCATCACTGCTGAGAAGGTAATTGCTATCTTAACTCTGAACATAAAAACTAGATGTGTCAAAGAAAGGTAGCTCTTCATTTACCTTTCTTTTTTTTTTTTTAATGTGTTTTGCATTTTCTACTTTTTTCGTAAGAGGAAACACTTTGGAGCAAAGTAAATGCCGTATTTATAGTGAGTAATTTTAAATACTAAACTGAAGGTAATGTTTCCCCCTAGATTTTCAGAGAAATAAATGAATTAAAAAATAGGTGGTACATACTTTTATTTTGAATAAGGCGACTGCACAATAAAAAATATTAACTACTGGAATGCCATTTCCAGCTTGCAGACTCTCTGTAATCCCTACCCACCATACACAAGACATAAATCTCGAAATTCTTTTTTATAATAGAAATGAAACCACCTGTTTATTTCCCTCCACCATTATATCTTTTTTATTTTATTTCATTTTATATTTGCTACCTACTCTTATTTAAGGAATACATAGAATGAATTACCTCTGATTCAGAAATGAGAAGCTAACTCCTTCCAATTAATGTGGTCGTCGACTTGGGATCTTTTTCCTTCGGCCAGAATGCATTTGCTGGGGGAAAGTATTGTATTAAATCGTTTTGGGTAAATTGTAGAAAACTGAATATTTCCTTTAAAAAACATTGAACGTGTTATTTATTACAAAATTGAATGTGCTATTTATTATTTTTATCTTGTTTATAACTTGGTAGGTTAATAACCTTTAGTCATAAGAAAGCAGTAATTTTTTACCCATATACACATCTCCCATTTTGCCCCCATGCATGCTAAGCATGATTCATGCACAGTTGCAGGTACCCTCCCCAAAGTGAAACATATTAATAAAGTTAAAAAGCAAAAACTTACATAATGTGTATAAATTTTTTCCCACACTCAACAACGGCACAAGCTTCTTGACCCTCCGGTCTTAAGGTTCATATTCATAATGGAGCTTTTTAAGGGACACTTGGCCTCTTGCAAAAAAGTAGAGCATTTTGCACATTCCATGGTTTGGCAAAGTCAGAACTGGTTATTTTCTCTAGACCGGTATCAAGTTCTTCTCAGGCATATGATTTCACTTGAAGTCCTGCCCAGGAATCCTTCAAAGTGAACGTTTGTCCCGCTCTCATGATGTCAGGCGGTTTTCCCTGCATCTGTAATTTGAAGAAAAACAAACAAACCTGCGGGGAACAAACGCCACGGAAACCCAAACAGAACTCCGTGGGGAGCGAGGGTCTCACCTGCAGCGGGCGCGGGAAAGGGGCACGGGCACGGTTTCCCCTGCGTGGGTGGCGACCCGGCCCGCGCGGTGGGGAGAATGCCAGTGTCCGTGCCTCTGTAGGTTTGCGTGGAAGGCCCCCAGCCCCGCGTTTGGCCGCTGCTCCGAGACGGCGGCGCCAAGTGTCAGCGGTAGCAAGGGGAGCAGCAGCAACAGATTCAGGCAAAGGCCCAACCTCGAATTTCCAGAGACAGGCCCACATTAGCGACAGACAGGGGTCGGGCGGGGATCCCCGGGGGCCACTTTGGCAGAATTTTCCGCTTATAAGTCGTAAAGTGTGCGCCGCCCCCAGCACCAGTGAAAGTGGAAGGAAAGTGCACCGGCAAAGTGGAAGGAGAAATCGTTTTCTTCGTGTTTGCTCAAACGCAATCCTACTATTTCTCAGAAACCTCCCAACTCTTCGATAACCCACGAATGTGCAAACAGGAGGGTTATTAGCTATTTTTCTTTACTGGACAGCAAAAGATAGACCCAGTTTAAATTAAAAAAAAAAAAAAAAACCGACATGGGATACATTTAACATTCGCTTTTGTCTCAAGGCCTCAGGCCTCAGGCCTCAGGACGTGAGCCCACTTAATGTTCTTAGCAAATCAAAGGACGTGTCCTTTGAAGAAGGTGTGTAATTGGAGTTTAAGGCATGTATGGAATTCCCAGATGTCTATAAAGTAAGAAGGAGCATGTGGCAGGTCACTGGAAGGTGGAGCAGGTTAAAATCACTGGCACAGACGTGGCCCCTTTAGATTCTCCTTTGTAAGGACCAACGAGATAAGCCTTCCGAAAGGTTGGGATGGAATGATGATGAATATTCAGCTTCTGGAATCAGAGTCGTAGTAACCATGGTAAAAAGCACATGGTCAGAAAACCTCAAAGAAAACACTCAATTATAGCCTGGATTTTGTGGGCGCCCTGCAACTAGATCGTTTGGGGTTTGCTGCAGTGAGGGCCTCCAACTGCCTCCTTTCTTGTTTACGTGTACTATTTTCTTTTCCTTCTATTTTTTTCTTCCCCCCACCCCAAGTTTGTCAGTGTGTCCTCTTCTTCATGTGATTTAGGCTAACGTCAGAGGAACAAAATTCCAGGTTAGGAAAAGAAAAAAACAACTCTAAAAGCATTCATTCCAGAAGGCAGCCTTCTTGGGGGAGGGGAGATTTCCAGCAAGTGAAATTAAATTTCTGTAAAACGTGAAGTTTTCGTATCTACTAGAGAAAACTCAGGAAAAGACTACCACCAAGATCAGCTGCTCTTTTCTTTCACGTTATTGAGGAATGTATAGATGTATAAAGCACTGTTGGACCTAACTGTGAGTCTGTATGGCGTATTAGGCCATTTTCCTTTTGGTTCGCTTTTTGACTGAAGACCGAATCAAAAATATGACTTTTTTTCTTGGGTTCAAAATGCTGCCCTCATTTACCTGCACAGTACGGCCTGAAGTGGGAGACTAAGAATCTGAAGTCTCTCAAAGAACCTGGCCATGGCAAAGGTTGACAATGGGAGGGAGTGATATTTCGGGAAGATGGAACTGGGGGCCAGCGAGGTGGGGGTGGGGAGTGGGAGGACTGGAACAAAGGGCAACCCCACAGAGGCCACTACTGAGGCAAGTAGGAGAGGGAAAGGGATGCCTTAGGGGATGAAGTGAGTTTGACAAGTGAAAAGTTAAGCAGGTACCTGAAGGAAGTTTATCTTGCCCAGATGTTAGGGCTTTTATGAAATGTCACGTGAATAGAACAGATGTACAACTTGCAAATGGGGACACGCCTGTAAATACAAGAAAGGCAAAAGCTTGGAAAGAAATCCAGACATAAATCAACCTCCTTTTCTAGATATCTATTTTCTTCTTTAAATATTTGCTTTCAGAAAGGGAAGATACAAGTTGTTAAGTGAATCTTCCAGGAGTCACAATTCCATCTCCTGCCCAGCATGCCCATCCCCTAGGTTCCTTTGGAGAGTTAGGGTAAGAGATGAATTTCACCATCCCCCTCCTGTTTTCCTTCTTCACATTCCCCATTTCCCACATTGCTCTCTGGACTTCTCAAAGATGTTTGATCCTGAAAAACATATCAGATCTCGGTTTGGAAAAGCTGAAACTAATCAATTGCCTTTTTGAAGGGGTAGAGAGTGATAAGAGGGAAGGAATGCCAGGCCTGACAGATT